GAAAGTCACTTCGAGCTTTTTGCTGAAGAACTAAATCACTGGATTTTCCACTGTATCAGTTTCAAACATGATTTTGTTCTCATGTGAGGGCTTTTAATATCGTGCTTAGAAATTAATAGTTCACTTTGAAATTAATTATTGATATGTTTTAGTTTACCTCAAGGGCATCCAAGATGCTCTTTGAGGTGACCATAGACCTCCATTATATGACTGGCAGACAAGAACATTTCATATATATATATATATATATATATATAATGTTCATTGTTAATACATAATAGATCAGCTAATGCATATATACAACTTTTAAAAAAAAATGTAAAGGCTATATAGTATGTGTAGAAATACACATTAACAATGATTGATAAATAATGTCCAAGTACTGCTCACGGTTCGATCATAATAACTAATGCAATGCAAGGTGGTGACCATAGACCTCCATTATATGACTGACAGACAAGAACGTTTCATTTATATATATATATATATATATATATATATATATATATATAAAATGTTCATTGTTTATACATAATAGATCCGCTACTGCATATTTATACAACTTTAAAAAAAAATTGTAAAGGCTAGGCCTATATAGTATGTGTAGAAATGCATGTTAACAATAATTGATCAATAATGTCCAAGTACTGCTCATGGTTCGATTCATAATACCTAATGCAATGCAGTAACTTATGAATTGAGCTTAATTAAGAAGTGTTACCAAAAATGACAAAAACAAAAATCTATATACATTGTAAGTATTTAGACATTAAAATTGTCTGAAAACCACTGCATTATATAAAATTTCAAAATACCAAGCAAGCAGAATGTGGCACAATATTACCGGTAGTTTTCCTCATTTTGACCAGTAATGGTTATAGAATTTAAAACAACAAAATTATTTTTGGGTTACCAATCTTTAAGATATAAAAAGATATGGAATGGAATACGCTTTTATACGAGGCGCATGTTTCTGCATGAGCTTGTTGTGTTTGGAAAGACTAGTCATTTACTCTATGATGCCCATTTTAAATCTGTAACCATTTACAAAGCGGTGATGCCTAGTGTTTTAAAATCAGCTCAGATTTAAAAAGTTGTGTAGTGTATTCCAGCATTAACACAATGACGTTCAGTCATTAAAGGGACAGTAAGTGATTTCTGAGAAACGCTGTTGGAAAGTAGATCAGACCGAGAAGCACAACACACTTGCAGCCAATCGGTAGGAAGGGGCGTGTACACTCATGATGGGGGAGGAGAGAGAGCCAATCAGCAGTAGGGGGTGTGTCCACTCATGATGGGGGAGGAGAGAGCCAATCAGCAGAGGGGGCGTGTCCACTCATGATTGGGGGAGGAGAGTGAGCGACATTACAAAAGAGAAAAGGTCAGAGGAATATCACTGGAAAAAGAAGAGTTATGAAAAGCTTCCCAGCGCTGCAGAGAGAGAGAGAGGCAGGAAGGCCTGAAAATGGACGGCGAGTTGCTCCAAACGAGTAAGATTAGTTTCACAGAACCAAGACATGCTGATGTTGTAATGTCAGCTCTAGCACAGGACCGTTTTGAGTGTTATTGTTTGTCTGGAGCTTGTGACTAACAAACTCTTGTGTACTGTGTGTATATTTTTTGTCCTTCCTTGTTGCCTGTTCATCATCTTTGCTTTATTTTACTTCACTTCAGCTATGATAAACACACATTAACCCTTGCATAGCATCTTTGTGCATTTTGGGGGCGGAGAGGTGTTTGGGTTGATTTCAAACACCAACAGTGTTTGTCAGAAATCGCTCACTGCACCTTTAAGTGTCCAATTACTTTTTGACTCCATTGTTTGTTTGAAAGGAAGTCGACTGCTGCTCCACTAGGGGAACATTGTTTGGCAAGCATGCCCCTGCCCACTTATCAAACAGGACAAAAGTTTTATACATACTACTAAAGTAAAATAATAATAGCATAGTATTAAAGGACTTAAAGGCTAATGCAGGTTATAGTAGTTCACGCACAAGACCCTGTCCGTGTTTCTCAGGGGAATCGTCATCCACAGCACTTACAGCACCGCACAGACTGTTCCTGATGCTGGCTCGAGATCTCAGTAACTCTCCAGGTCCCGGATCAGACCTTCTTGAGACTGAACCTTCAACCTTTGAGTTAGTAGACTGGATCCTGAACCATCAGGTTGCATTTACATCCACAGGATTTAAAAAAAAGGTTGCCCAGTCTAACAGACGCAATGTGAAACAGCTATTTGAATTTGTGTTCATGAACTATTCAGCATTTTGGAAATTTATTTCCAAGTTGCTTTTGAGTGAAATTTTATTTGTTTTATTTAGCCATTGCTAAGGTACGGAGGCGTATTGCATCACTTGAAGAAAAAAAATCTACTGAATTTTTCTGAATTAGCAAGTTAATTATGTCAGAATAATGAGATAATTTTTCATGGAAAAAAGTTTTTGCTCTGTTTTTCTGAATTAACGAGTTAATTTTTCATGAGAAAAAAAGTTGCTCTGTTTTTCTGAATTAACGAGTTAATTTTTCATGAGAAAAAAAATTTGCTCTGTTTTTCTGAATTAACGAGTTAATTTTTCATGAGAAAAAA